GGAGTTGGTTGGGAGAAATCAACTTAACCCCTCAGGTAATTTGTCGCATTAATGTTGATGGACAAGTGTTGAATTTACATGAGCTTCCAGGGTCCTCTTGGAGGCCTGGCAGACAATGTACACTAACTGATTTAGAACAGATAAATCTAAATCTTGTAGGCTTAACACAAAAGAAGGTTATTTCTCCCATACTCATAAGTCTTCTACCTGGTCTTTCAGATGTGACTCCTTTCATCTTGTGACTTTGTCCTTCTCTAGTGCCTCACAGTCCTCTGTATTCAGCCAGCAGATATGGAAAAAGAAAAGGTGAGGAATAGGAGGAAGTTTCTATAGGTCCTGTCTTGAAATGGTGTACATCACTTCCCCACACATTTCACTGGCCCAAACTCAGTCACTGAGTGGCTGGGAAGTGTGGTCCCAGCAATACTCTACATTGTGGGAAGGGAGCAAGACTCAGTGGTCAGATAGCTGTATCTCTCACAGGGAAATCTGAGATTTACCATGAGGTTCCCAAATTGCAGAATTAAGATTTCTGAACAAGAGGGAGCAAAGGTTAACTCCTAATTGGGGTGTGCATATTCTGGTTTAGAAGAGAAATAATCTATGGAACAAAACAGACTCAAGGTCCTTGAGTTCTGTCCTTGGCCATACGTATGCGTTAATAGCATAGTCATAAAGGAATAAACAGGTATAACAGAGGTAAGTTGAGTATATACTTCTACCTTGCCAAAAGTTTCCAGAAGAAAAATAAATTTGCAGCTGTTGAAATGTGATCGTCAAAAAATACCTGAAATCAATTACATAAACTGTGAAACCTAAGTCATAATTATGCAATGAGGTATAAAGTTCACATTTTAGAAAATTTCACAGAGGAAAATTATAGGCTGGTGTGCCAAGAGAAATAAAGTATATATATCCTTTCAAACAAAGAAATTAGAATGTTGTTTTCCATCTTCTGTGAGCCTTGTTTTGAAAAGTCAATGACAAACCCCAAGGTTTGGTAACCCTTACTGGAAATAAGATGAAAGTTAGGCCCATGAACAATGGGCTATCTCTGACCTTATGCCTATTTTCATGGACCCACTTCCTGTGTTGTTCTGCTTGAGTTCCCAGCCTCCGTCTTTCTTTCTTCCTGTGGTGTATTCTGCCTTGCAGCAAGGTGAGTTGCAATCATTTTTTTGTTGTTGTTGATGATGATGTTCCCCGTAAACAAAAGGAGGTAAATTAAAAGATGCTTTTGGAAAGCACCATAGTAAAACCCCATGGCTATCAAGAAGTTTATACTATAGTTCTCTAGATGCCATTTTTGACCAGACTTCTATCTCCTCCATAACCTGTTCTTTTCACTAAAACTTTAAAATTCACTCAACATGTCGCTCCATACTGTCTAAATCTGCACAATCCAATATGGCAGCCACTAACCACATATAGGTATTGAGTGCTTGTAATATGGCTTGTCTGAACTGAGATGCACTATGAGTATATAGACTGGAGTTTGAAGACTTAGCATGAAATGAGGAATCTAACATACTTCATTTTTAATTTTTATATTAATTACATGCTGAAATAACATTTTAGATACATTGGGTAAAAATAATACTTCATTAAATTTCACTATTTTGTTTTTAATGTGCAAAATTCAAAATTTAAAATTACATGTCATATTTGATTTCTATGGAAGAGAGGTAGTCTAAATAGTTCTCTAATGTCTGTATTGTGTGTGTGTAGAGATGTGTGCCTTCAACTAAATCATAAGCTCTTTGAGGGTAAGAACTATGTTATATACTTTTTTATATGCCCTATTATATTCAGTAGAATCCAGAGTAGTAGAAAATTCCTCAGGAATTTGAAGACTTTCTTGCTCATTCTAGCATTTTATGCCAAACAATCGGCAATGGCTGTGCCTGGGGACCCACTAGAATGTGGGGAGGGGGGTAAGGTAGGTCTGAGGGGAGTCTCAATGTAAACCAACCAGGACATGAAGGAACTCTATGGGCTCCTGTGGTCAAGCAAAGTTTCCCTAATGAGACAGCTGTCCAGGTACTCATTGTCCACAGACTCTGGAGCTGTCTGCCAGTTCTGCTAATCATTCACCACCTTTGGCTTCCTTCTCGGCTAGTCGTGGGCAGGGTCTGGTTTGGGACAGGTGATTCCTATCTTCAAAGTCTGAGATCAGGATGTCCATGTTTTAATGAACAAAATATAGTGCTGGTGCCTGGCCAAGGTGGGGGGGGGGGCCTGAGCATTCCAGATGGGACCTTAACGGGGGCTACTTGTCCTCATATGTGCCACTTTCAACCTCGCATTGCTGATGCGTCAGTGCTGTTAATCTCCCTTCTCCTCTGACCACTGGCACCTGGCTCATGGCTGCCAGAAACAACTGGGAAGATGAGTGTGGGAGTTGGCCTGAACTCTGCTGCCCTACTTCATTTGGAATACAGCCTTGAAGTATGAGAAGCAACATTAAAAGTGACTGAATGCAGTTCCCTGGGGCCTGTGGACCATGCACACCCCAGCCAGTCCTCCTATTACTTAGGGGAGTGATGAACCCTGTGTTTCTCCCCAGAGCAAATCCAAAAACCAAAGAGAATCCCTGTGGTCCTCTCCTCCCTTACTCACCTCAGATGTGTCATGCACCTTTTCCCTTAGAATCTCCTCCCTCTGAGCATTGAGCTCTACCATTCTCTCCAAGTGTTTTGTTAATTCACCAAAAGAGAGAAAGAAACAGGAGATAAACAGGCTCACTCTGTGTGACGACAACAGGCATGCTCTTTTATTTCCACATCAGTAGAAAGCTCAGTTCAAAATTCAATTTTTTTTTCACATAAGAGGTATGACATACAGCAAATGAAGAGAGAACTGGAATTAGAACCCAGATTTATGACTTCCAGTCGATGCATTTTCCACTTCCTTAGGCTTCCTTCTTAAAACTGCATTTCTAAACCTCATTGGTGGCAATGGTCACTTCCAGATTATAGGATTAAAGATCATTTTTAAGGTTGTTCCTTTGCTTATATATTTACCTGATTTTTCTGACATGACCATACATGAATTGAAAAATATGCCTAAAAATAAATTTTAAAATAAGCAAATCCCTTAATAAAACAGAATTAAGCTTCATTTTTCCAACTTGCCTTTACACTCAAATCTTAGTCTTGCCAAATCTCTCAATAGTAAAAAGCAATCTGAATTATTGCCATCTTCAAGGGCACAGAGAGAGATTTAATTTTTCTGGAACTAAGTGCACTTGAGAAAGAGTAGGTATTTGGATGGGGGTGAGGGCTCAGAGGCAGTGCTATGACCTGGGTGTAAATTCACCTCCTCTCTTGGGATGAGCACTGGGTGTTGTATGGAAACCAATTTGACAATAAATTTCATATTTTGAAAAAATAAAAAATAAATAAATAAATAAATTCACCTCCTCTCTTCTAGAGGTGCTGTCGGCATACAGGTGCTGCCTCTCTTCCCCACGACTATGCTTGTACTCTGAGGATTGATGGCAGAAGACTGTGATGTCAGCATGGTTCATGCTGAGTGATGGACTTCCTCCCCCCACTTAGCACAATTGCCACACTCCAAAAAATTCCTATTTCAATAAACTGCAATAAACCCAATTCCATGTGTGGACCTAGGGCATGCCTCACATTCCCTGTACCTTTCTCTCCACCATCCTCTCTGCCTTACACTCAGCTCCCTGTTACCCAGCTCCTATACTCTGTCTTGTGAGGTGCATTAGACACCAGTGGAGTAACAGATAAATGAAGCTGATGGGCTAATTTGCACTGAAATACAAACGACCAACACCAATTCACTGGAGTCACGCACTCATCAGTATCTGCATCTGAAGAATTACACCTTAATCCCTTGTATCAGTTAAGAATGAATCAAGGGAGCAAAGGGTATGAAATATGGTTTTCTTATGGATATTAGACCTTATACATTTGTAAAAGAAGTCTACAGAAGGCTGTGGCCTTTCTGCTGTGATGAGGCCTAAGGTCATTTCAGGTCAATATGGCAGCAGTCAGGAAAAGTATATTGCATGAAGTTAGGGAATATCAAGGACAAACCAAAACAGATGAGAACAAAATTGAGCCCATGTGTGCCTCTCACCACCCCATACTTCAACGGCAAGTGACCTGCAGAAGAAGCTGGTGCCCTTGACATGAAGACAAGCTGAGGGAGCTATAGGCCTGGCTGCTGCCCATGCCAAGGAGATGGGCATCAGTAACAGAACACATGAGCTACATGGCAGTGGCGCCTGGCACTCTATGCCTTCAGAGCATGTTTAGGTTGCAGCTTCACTTCCACCTTCTCATGTAAACCTCTCCTGTAGCCAACCCATCCTGGAAATGTCTATAAAAAAGGAAATTCCGGAAGATATGGCTTAAGCATAGTTAGGATGACGCACTACAAAACCACCACAATCCCTGAAAATCAATACCAAAAGATAGCTTTTCAGATCCATTTATCAGCCAGTTGAGATGTTGAAGTAGGGGTGTGGGCATGAATGGAGATCTGAAGAGGAGGTGGTGGTGAAGGAAGTTTTCTTGGTGATCTTTAGAATGTGTCTATAAGAGAACAGAAAACCCAAGCAGACACTAGGTGTATATTATATGGTCACATATCCAAATGTTTATTATAAATACATGTGTCCAGAAAGGAAACCTTACAGTTGGACCGAAGTTACGTCTGAGAACAACTGAAGAATACTGTAGGGTTTGTGAGTGTCCAGGCTTCCTCAGGATACCAGAGCAACAACCCCTACCCCCATCCCATGCTCCTCTCCTTGTTTGAGTGCTGGGCAACACAAGGGGAGGGAAGCCATGGGAGAAAGGGACAGGTGTGAACAGAAGTACATCAAGGGCCATAGAGAGGAGTCTCTAAAATTACATTCACAAGTATTCTTCTTTGGCATAAGTCAGTTCTCAATGTTCCAGAATGGAATGGAACAATGAGGCTTTACTCCACCAAATATGTAGGCTTGTTTCAAGAAACATTTCCTCTGTGTGGGAGCAGTGGGTGGGGTGGGATGATAAAAGTTGGTGGAAGGCAATGCTTTCCAAAGCCCAGACCTTGAAGTAGCCCCAGAAGTTGTGGACTTGCCCAAAATTTGCTCTTCTCTCCTTCATTAGACAGATCTGTAGCTCAATGGGAACCTTTATTGGTCATGTGTACCCAGGGCTGTTTCTAATCTCATATGGACTGTGTCAGGCAATAGTAGTCTCCAAAGCTATGATATTCAAAGACTCTCTCCTGGATCCTTCATGCCATCCTAGGAATAAGACAAGATGGGCCCGGCTATGGAAAATATCTTATGGAGGTTTGCTGAAGATGTTGGCTGGCTCCATTTTGATAGCTTATGAGATCAGCTGCATTAAAGGAGGGTTTATACTAATGAACAGAGAACTTCCACCAAGATTTATGTACCCCAAAGAGTGGCAGCACCTCACTATGTTCATCCTCTTCACCCTCAATGGCTGTGTAGATGTCATGAGCAAGAACTTGCTACCTCAGAGGTGTGTGGTCCTAGAAAGGTACCCTGGTCCTGACCTTCTATGTGCTCCTGCTGCTGTTGATGTCACACGTCCAGGACTCAACCGGGATAGAGCTTCAGATTCATTATCTGCTCATCGTGGTGGTGTTCCTGTTGATGCTGGTGTTGACCATAGAGCTGTGGACTCCTGACACATTTCACCTCTTGCTGATTGAGACTTTTCTGTTTCTGACGATGGGCTCCTGGCTGATACAGGGGGGCTTTATTCTGTACAGACCAGTCACTGGCTACCCATGGCAGGATGATGACATCAGTGACATCATGTTTATCACCACCTTCTGGCATGTGAATTCAGCAGGCGGGGCATGCTCACACTGGGGCATGATGACTATGGAATCTCTTTGAATTGCTTTGGCATCATTGTTACCGTCCCAGCTTGAAGCTGATGGAATCCAAAGAAGCTCCACATCACAAGGGCACTATAGGACCCCTCTACAAATTGCTGCGGGAAGTGGAACAGTCAGAGAAAGATGACCAGGCTCCTCTCCTTTCAAAGAGCTCTCCCTGAGACAGGGCCTAGAATGCCTGGCACATTGTCCACTCATCTTTTCCCTTGTGTGTTCTCTCAGACACGTGCAATGTACTCTTTTCGGTCCCCAGTGAAGGTAATGGCCATGAAGGAGAGCAGTTGGTCTCCATCTGCTGGTACATCTCCTGCCCTTGATCTTCTAGTTGCTGAGATGAGGCCGAGAGGAGATGGTGCTGGTGTCTGAGAAAGAGATGCTGACCAGTTGAACAGGGGTGGTAGAGAGCACTGGGAGTAGGAAAGTGTAAAAGCCATGGGGGGCAGAGGATGCGATAGAAGGGAGGCCTTCAAAGGGAGGAGAGCAGAGTCTAGCAGTCATGCCGTCACCAGCTACTTCTCTAGGCACAAGTGATTGCCTTTTACCTGAAAGTATAATGATTTGTCGCAATTCAAAACTGGAATCATTCAAGTCTTATCCTGATAAAAGTGAGTACTTCAGTTTGCTCACTAAAGTTGCACTGCCATGTGGAAGTAATATAAACAATTTATAATTAATTTATACGTGTTGAAATTATTATTTTTATACCCCCTCCCATTTTTAAGGATTGCTTTCATTTCAAATCCAAATTCATAAAGCGAGACTTTATTAATGCTTTAACATAGCAATATTTCAAATGTGCAGACTTCAAATATAGAATTCAAATGCTCAGTGCTTTTCCAACTTCATATTTTACTACTCCTATTCCAACCAAAGCTTACCTATTTCACTATCACCACCTTTGCGCATGTAGTTTCCTAGGGTTTTGGGGGAGGTTTTTCCTCACCACCTAAAGCATAGACTCCCAAAGGGTAAGGACTTTGCTGTATCCAAGTTACATAATTTCCTATGTATGTGGCAAAAATGTAGTGTAGGTAATGCTTAATAAAGGCTTGTTTGCTTCTAGAATCTCTGCCTACCCCTGTTGCTTCTAAATGTGTTTCAGGTCAGGCTCAAGGTTCTGTGAACCTTGGGGAAACACCAACAGTACTAAAACCTGAATCATCTCCTTAGTCATGACCCCACTCTCTTCCTCATTCTTGGGGAAATAAAATCCACTAACCTATTTCTGAATTGTTTACTCTGTTAGTGCTTTTTAATCCATAAGGAACTTCCAGAAAACTGAGACTCAGCAGGTTGATTTACCCATCTTATAGCTGGTACAAGGCAAGACAGGAATTTGAGTGCAGGTATGTTTGACTCTAGCCAGTGACTGTGTCCTCTGGGCCATAGTGACTTTGCTAATGGCAATGGTGAAGGAAATGATCCTCAAATTGAAATTGTTTTATTTTTTAGTTTTTTTTAATGTTTATTTATTTTTGAAAGAGAGGGAGACAGAGTGTGAGCAGGGGAGGGGCAGAGAGAGAGGGAGACACAGAATCTGAAGCAGGCTCCAGGCTCTGAGCTGTCAGCACAGAGCCCGACGTGGGGCTCGAACTCACGAGCAGTGAGATCATGACCTGAGCTGAAGCCAGGCATTTAATCAACTGAGCCACCCAGGTGCCCCAAATTGACATTGTTTTAAAAAATAAGAAAGAAAAAAAGGGAGGAAGGGAGGGAGGGAGGAAGGAAAAATGGCCACCCAGAAGGCCCAGCTAGAACAAAGTGGTGCGTGTACATACTCTAGACGCCCCCTACAGTGCGTGTCTCTGTCAGACTTTCTGTCCACCACCCAATACCCCCACCCCAGCCTCCCCTTTGAGTGAGAGTCTGGCCAACTCTCAACTTCTGGCTGGGTCTTAAATTTCTGGGCTCAGATCTGAGTGAGGGCTGAGGATAAGATTTGTTTGTAACCACGTTTTCTGATCCTCGACATTTTCCCCTTAACTCTTGGGCGCTACACCCTTTTCCGTTACCGTTCTTGGGGGACTTTCTCTTTACCTCTTCCACACACTGGTGGGAGATGATGAAAAAGCACAAAACACTGTTAAGCTGCTCTTTTCTAGTCATTTGAAGCCTAATTTTATAATAAACAAATGCCTGGTAATCAGTTGATACTCCCAACATAGTATCTCTTAAATATCCACTGTAGGTAATAAACGTGCATGTTATTAATTTACTGTATTTGAGATATAACACAGAGGCTCTCCCCTTGAAGGCCAGCCAGGAAAAAAATTCCCACCCACTCTTAAGCTTGGGGAAGATGTTTGTAATTCTCAAAAATTACACCAGAGGGCGCTACGATCACACCGCCCCAGCCAAGCCTCTGGCTCTCCAACCTGGTAAACAAGTCTTCTCAGAACTGATTTAAAAGAAGGGGGGGTGGGGGGGGGGGGGGGGGGGGGGAGGAGGTCAGGAAAAACAGAACTAAGTCTAAGTATTGCCCAAGCATCCAGAGAACATATCTCAGGGTTGTTTGTTTCCCATTAAAATTTGGCATATGAACGTGAAGTAAACAGGGATTCCAATCAACTAATGGGTTAGAGGTGAGGGAGGCAGGACTGTGGATCCAGTTGAGGATATCTCTGGGAAAGGTACCAACTAAAGGACACACTCTGGCCCAAGCAAAAATTTTTTTTTTTACCACAATGCTAAATTTCCTAGGCTTTTAAAATTAAGCTTCACAACTGTTTAAATCAATCCAGAGAACAGAGAGAGCTCCATACATATATTGGGAATAAGGAACAAGATTTATCTATGAAAATTTCAGATTCACAAAATAATGCAACTGGGACAGATTATTAAATATGAAAAATGATCTCCAAAGATTCCTTTAAAGAGAACCTGACATAAAGCATTTTTTTTCCCCTGGTCATCTAGTTACTCATGAAGAATATATTGAATGTCCACCATATATACGGAAGGCACTGGGTGAGCCACAATGTAGGATTCAGAGGTAAACTGGTCGGTCCCCTCACTGAGTCCTTTCCTTAATGGGGACAAGAGGATGGCAGCGTTGCGGTGGTGGTGGCCCCAGAATGCACCAGCTGAGACCTGAGGACACTGGAGGAGAAACACAAAAGGCTCTCAAGGGAGTCACACCTGTGAAATGCATTAGGCTGCCCTAAGGTGACCTCAGCAAGTGACTACATGTGATAGCAGCCTCCCTCAGCCTCCTCATCTTGTAGCATGATGCGTAGACTAGTTCTAGAATTGCACAGCTTCAGTTTTCTCAGCAAGGCTTATTTTCCATGTTGTTAGCTATGATGAACTTCATTCTTCCCAGCTCCCCAGTTTCCTGTTTGACTCAAGATTTAGGATAAGGCTCAAACACACCCAAACTTCAGCCAGAACACGCAATTTGGGAAATGGGGGTGTTCCCTATATTCCAATGATTTTGAGGGGCCTTCAACAAAACGCCTATTAGGCTAAAAAACAAACAGCTGAGACCTGAACTTCTAGTTTCCTATCTGGAGCTTAAGAATATCAAACAATCAGAAAGGACATAAAGAACAATTCCTCTATGTTCAGTGTTTGGTATTGAATTGAGGTAAAACCTAGTCCTTCCTTCTTTCATTATATAGGTGAAACTGGAAAGCTTGGCCAACTGTAGCTTCTCCCCAAAATTTGGTTTAAGAGTAATGACATCAACTTCCAAGGCTGTTTCTTTTGTTCTTGTTTTATTTTGGTTTTAAGATTATATTATAGTCTATTCTTTTGGAAAGAACTGGTGTTGGTTTATTTAAAAAATAATGATAATAAAGGAATTTATAATTTTGGGTTGGGTTTCCAGGGTGTTCCTCAAGCCTGGGTCTTGGCTATGTTTCTTTAGCCTGAGCTAAGAGTTTTGTTGAATGTCTATTAGGGAAAACTAATGTCTATATAGGGAAAACTCCATTTCCCAAACTGCCTGTTATGGCTGAAGGTTTGATTATGTTTGAGCCCTACACCAAATCTTGTCTGTAATGAGTGCAAAACAACCATACAGGCCCTGGGAAAGCACTTCCAGATCACTAGATGGAGAATTTTACAACTTGCAGAGTGAAAACGGGTCCTTTGGAAGAGAGAGAAAGAAATTGAGAGAAGAACTCACAGGTAAAGCCCACCCAAGACAAAGCCTTTACTGAAGGTTAGAGAACAACACTGAAGAAATGCTTTCAGTCCCCTGCCTGTTCTGCAGATTTGGAAGGAACAATTTTTACCTGTAATACTGCTCTCCCACTCCACTTACCTGGTGGATGCAACTACCCTACACTAAGAGAGAAAAACCAGACTTCAAAGCACAGGTAATAGAACCCGCAGTTGGCTTTGATACTGGGTATACCAAGAGATGCAGTAGTTCACGGGTTCAAGCATTCTAATGCCCTTTTATGGAGAGGGTGGGAAATGGGGGCGAGTGGCAATTTAGAAAAGAAGGGGGGAGAACAAAGGGCAGCAGACAGAACAAAGTCAAACTTCAGTTTGGAACAGACAGTCCTACTTTTAACTTCTTTAAAAGTACAGTCTGAGTTTCTGGGGGTGAACCAGTTAACCTCATCTGCTTTTTCTTCCCTCGTACTCTTTTAAGCTTCCCTGATCAGTCCTTGGACTCCTTTGAGCCCTAATTGGGTTGGTTTAAGTAAGTATGGGGCTGACCAAGGACAAGGCCTCTTGTTCCCTTCTGAAAGACTCAGTGGTCATGTATTACGTTTCTAACCTTCACAAAGTATGCCTCTGGTCACATGAATGGATCAAAGCAAATCCATTTCCATTCTTGGAAAAGCAGCTCAAAGCACATGTTCCCTTGATGGTGCCGCTGTCATTTCTGTGTGATCAACAAACATCATTTATTGAACACTCACTCGGGACACCATTGGGAGATAGAAAGATGAATGCATTGCTCAAGGAGGTGAAGATACCTAGCAAATGAAGCAGGTACTCACATAGCAAAACGTAATACCATAAGTTTTAAAAACTGCATTCTCTTCCTACTATATGCATCTCAGATGCTGGTGGTGATGAGCCTAGAGGCTCTGGTTTATGCTTAGGCAGTTTGGCATCTGAAAATTAACATCTTTTAAAATAAAAACATCACCTTTCTTCTCCCCCTCCTCAACCATTTAACCTTGAGACTGAGTTAGAAAGT